CTAAATTCAACTTATGTTTTCAAAAACCTTAAAGTAAAAATATCTAGAAATGAAAGGTATTTAAACACTGACTGCGAAAGATGTACCATTTCAGTTCACTGAAACATCGCCATTTACCCAGCCATTAGTAGACGTCAATGCTGAGTTAGCAAGCATGGTAGCATCAACAATTAATGGAAAAATCATAGGATTCCTACAAATAAATAATTCTATTGGTTGCATTTCATGCAAGAAAAAGGTTATTCCAATCTCAGACAACAAGGACCTTGGGAAATGCGAGGATTGTAACTTGATACAAATAGTATCATCTTGTGCAACACAGTGGTTCATGCGCATACTAGTACAATCTTCAACAAACCCAGGTGAAGAGCGCAAATTAATTCTTTTCAACAAACAGGTTGAAGAACTAGTAACACTTATGAACTTGAATTTAGATCTGAACAGTGTGAATGAAACAGACATCACGCTTGCAGTGTTAAAGGAGAACAAACCACTGACAATCACTTATGATTCACATTCGAACAAAGTACAAACAATTGCAATTTAACTGATAAACAATGTGAAACCATCAGATTGCTTCTTATTTTAGAGCAGTCATTTTGGACAACTCGTCTATCATGGAACTGATGACACAAACACAGTTACAGTCATAATTTTAGTTACAGTTGTAATGTTAGTTTCAGTTATAATGTTAGTTACAGTTTTAATGTTGGTTACAGTTATAATGTAACAGTTAAGCTGTTAAGTTCCCGTTATGTTGCAAATTTTCCTTAACATACAGTTAATTATTACACTGATATACTAGACTATTTAAATGAAAAATATTTGCAAAATTGTATTACAAATTTGTTATTATGACAGAATTGTGTTTCAAGTCATCTTGACCTCATGATTTGATTTTCCCTTTCGTTCTATATTTTCATCCATGTTTGACATCTTACTCACCCCTCCTTTAACACAATCCCTGTAACATCGAACGCACTCTATAATCTGTGATTACTGCTAGTATTTGTACGAAAGGTTTCAAAATCGCACCCTTGGCCGTGAGTTCGCCTACTCGAAAAAAGCCATAGAAGGCCACCAAAAACATTGTCTGGTACAACAGCCTTTGATATGCTGATGAGTTGGTATGATCTAATGCGAGCACTAATCGTTGCAACA